CATTTAAAGGTAATTTTGTATGTGGCCAAAATAACTCAAAATACCGTGACTGAGCTCCTTCAAAAACGTAAGAGCGTACGCGACAACACCGAAAGGTAGTATGGGTAGTGTTAGTTTACCGCTGGTTGACCGAAGTGCACGGTGTTTCCGGGCGAAGGAAGGAGAACCCATAAATACACGTATTCATATTTTTTTCTTATCACGCTGAAGCACCGTGAATTTCCGTCACCCAACCTCGTTTTCAGGCTCTCTTTCCTTTGCCTTCCCAACGACAAGGGAGGCAAAGGAGAGAGAGAGCCTGGGATCAAGGTTGTCAGTCAACCAGCTGTAAACTAAACGGTACCCATAACATCTTTCGGCATTGTCGCGCGCATTTTTATACTTTTGTAGGAAAAGCCTTTTGAAAGAGCTCTACAATAACGCAATGAATGTTTTGACCATAAAAATGCATGTTTTTAAACACCTCAGATGTTTTTTTAATAGAACTAACGCCTTTTACGTGCACCATTAGTAGTATTCCCTAACAATGCTTGCAGCCGAACTATTTCTTCTTGGTATCTGCAACACAAAGATAGGAAAAGAGAAAAAGTGTAAAACTTCGGCAAAGGACAACGTTCCGGTCCCAACAAAAACATGGACAATCCGCCTTCGTACTTCACAGTCTTTAAAACCTAAAATGTGGAAAATTCACGTTTTCGAGAATAGGACCTTGAAAGTACTTTCTGGTTGTTTATACCCAGAAGTTTCGGTTAAATGGTTCACGTTTTGGAAATGCAACAATCTCCGAATTTTCTGTAGACTTTACCACGAAATATCCGTGCATTTGGTCTCGTTTCGAAAATTTTTGGTCGAATGGAATTCCCTATATCTTCCCTTGTTTTAAGAAACTTTTTCTGGTCGAAAGAATCAACTTGACTTCTATTAGAGGAATGGTTTTTCTGATATGATATCTGTACCACTGTACCAACTTGTAGATAAAAGAGACTTCCTTACCTTTTAAGATTCGTATCTATATAGTGCTGAAGGCGCGCCAGTTGTTCCTCGGCCATTATACAGCGGGTCATCAGTGCAGCCCGCTCACTCTCCAGATCTTGCTGAAGTAAGAAACAAAGAAAATAAAGAGATGCTTCTAACAACTAAAGCAAAACCAATGTTTTCACATCTGGCCAAGCACAACAAACCCAGTAAAGCTATGAGCCAATCAGAACTCGTAAGGAGGACGTGCAATCCGCGCAAAGCGCGGGAAAATGCGCGTAAGTCAAATGAAGAAAGGTCTCTGATTGGTTTAAAAACAGTGTATTTGAGCTGATTGGCTAGAACGGTGGACGCATTTTTACTTCCTAAACAATTAGAGCCACGCAAATGTAATCCAATTCTGCTCCATTAGATTAAAAACCAAGACATGTTGCACGTCATGTAGCAAGAAAGTCGAAATAATCCGAAATTCGTTTTGAAAGTCCTCTTGTCGTAGCAAAAAAGAGATACAAAAGTATATTTGATAGTTCTCTTATATTGAACTGCATTTGTATTGAAACACCACACAATCTGTTAAACGCTACAAACATTTATGGAAAGGCGAGTGCAAATTGAAAGAATCTTCAAATGTGATGTGTAGTGTAAATTCTTAATTGCTCGAGTTTTCATGCGATTACCCCTACATTAACGAAAGCTGGAAGAATAATTCAATCTTTGACAGAATTATCATGCACCTGGGTATTAAGCGTGAATTCTCGCAGTTGCTTCCTAAGATAGCCCCATCCCATCTCCACTGTGGCTTGACCGGCTGGCAATGACCTGACAACAAAATGAAAGTTGTAAATAACAAAAGAAATATCGGGTTTGAAACTGGATAAAGCAGGTAAAAGGAGCTCTGTCAGTAGGAGCAGTTTCCACAACTGTGTCCACACCAAGGTAATTAGCCAATCACAACAAACGTAGACACCACAGTGAACCAATGAGAAAACGAGACCAAGACACGTGCCCGGCGCAAAGCGCGGGAAAATCACCTGACAAAGTCGTGATTGATTTTAGTTTTGTATCTGATTGGCTGAACAAGTGGCGCGAGTTTTTTAAACCAATCACGAAGCGCACTAACGCAAAGCAAGCCTAAGTCGCTGTCGACTCTCCGTTGAAAACCGCTCTTTTACAGAGATAAACCACAACACTGATGCTTCCACTAACAAAGATAACGACAACATTGTCAACACCAAGAAACAACTTCTTCAGCATGCAAAATTGTTCTTGGTAACTTACAGATCTTTTTGCTGCTCATCTGACGTGAAACGTGAAGTGCTGGCAGCCAGCTGGAACAAAGGTAACGTGATAACCACAAGCTTAGTAAATTAAAATTTTCAATTACGTCGTTTTACAATCTACCTCAATCACTCTAGGACTTTTAGTCTAACAGGCCTTGTACCGTTTCGACTTGTTGTTCAAACACTAGTGTTTTTCGACTTTTCTACCTTCCTATAAATGAACTACCGGAAACCATTGTTGCTTTCCGATAGTTCATTTAGGAACTCTTTAAACAAATGTAATTCTTGGCATTACAGACTCTTAGCAACAAAATCGCCTCCTGATATACAAAATGACTAGGAATTTGCATGATTCGCTCTTCTTTACGAAAGCCTATGCTACTTTGGTCACTGAGCACATTTCATTTTGGCTATTTACCGTTACATTTCTTTTCTCTTTTTAATTAATGTAATTTCTGTAAATACTGTTAAAGTTATAATTTTTGTAAATAGTGCAAAACAATAAAAATTTGAAATCTAAAATCTGAGATGCAACACGCCTCGCTAAACTACAGTCCAACCTCCAATAGCTTATGCTTCTCCTCAACAGCCAGGATTTTTCTTGCGATCGTAGAACAATTTATACTTTTTTACTCTTATCAAAACCACCCTACAACAACAACCCTCTCCAAAGGCCATTTAAAAGCGCTCAGACACGGTATTTTGAATTATTTTGTATACACACAAAATTGCATTTAGATCGAAGGAAACCTGAAAATAGTAGTTCGCTAAGATAGAAAAGCACTTAAGAGATACTAATAAACCATAAAAGAGCAAGGATGGTTAAGGATGGAGACGATTGACACGGATTGTAAACGACGAATCTGAAAACTTTAGGCTAAACTTTTCAAGATGCGCAAATCGCTAGTGGCCGTTGTAGAGCGGCTCAACAATAGACTGCGAACAGTTTCTGTAACTTCTTTCCCGAGGATTTTCGAGAAAAAGAGAGACTGCTCGCAGTGTAGCTTAACAGTAGATGTTATTGATAAGTTTCGAGTGATACAGAATTGATATGATTAGATTCACATCACATTCTGTCGGGAGTAGATTCAACCACTCTACCAACAGTGGGTAAACTTGTGTAATAATACAACGAAACCTAACGGACTTTGTCAGTATGACTATGCGTAGTAACCATACGAGATAAGAAACACCGAAATATTTGTACCTTTTGTTTGAGATCTTCGTTGCTTTGTTTCAATTCTCTGAGATCAGCAGTCAGTTTTGCAATTTCTCGACTCTGTTGAGGAAATTGTACAACTATAAACTTCTGAAAATAACAAACTTTTAATTTGTTTCATAGGGACACCAATAGCAAAACCAACCTGAGCCATTTGTAATTCACTCTCTGACGGGAGGTACAAATCAGGTTGGTCTACCTGTGGTACATCCCGTGCCCCTTTGCTTTCCATGTCGAACTTTAACATCCTGAGAAGGAAAAAATTGAACAATTATATAAAACACTAAATAATGATCAATTGGATATCGGTCAAGAAAGTTTGCTGGAAAATCTGAATGCAATTTAAACATTTTTTCGGGCAATTTTAGCTACAATAATTTGAAGAAGTTTATGCGTAGGAAAAGAAACGACTAGGATTTAGTATAAATCTATCAGCGTTCTATCATGAATGCCGTTTTCTTACTGGCTATGTTACTGAGGTACTCGCTATCTATTCTGTGAGTAACCTGGCAGTGTGCAGTTGTTAACAAAATGACGACCGCTTCTTTGCGTTTTCGAATTGTCTGTGAAGAGGATTTAGTTGGATTGCTTTTGAATTGAGATCTATGCGAAGACAGTAAGATTGTACGCTCGCGATTTCTATGCGTGATAGTTGACTCGGGCTACGGCCTCATCAACTTTCACGCGATAGAAATCTCGAGCTCATAATCTAATTGTCAATTAGAGGGTTTTTCAATTGGGTGTTGTAAACCAAAACCAAAGTAATCACTCTAGCCAATCACAAAGGATATAGACAATCCAGTGAACCAATCAAAACTCGAAGGGATGGCATGCAGCTTACGCAAAGCGCGGGAAAACGCGTGCGAGTGAGTCGCGATTGGTTTTAATTTTACTTCTGATTGGATGAAAAAGTGGCGCGCGTTTTTTAAGTCAATCATGTAGCGTAGTTAACGCAAAATCAATTACTTTTCGATACTCAAATGAAACCCGCTCTAGCAGGATTGCTGTTTGTGTGTTGAACTGTATTTACCTGTAAGCCGAGGATAGACTCTCGTGTTTCTGTACCATGTCTCTTATGGTCACTTTTAATTCTCGTAGTCTGTTTTCCAAGGCTTCTTCTTTTTTCTCGTGTGAGTCTCGAATCTGTCTGACCATCACATCGATGTACGATTGCAATGACTCCACTGAAAGCTGCTTCTCATTAGCCTTTCCACAGAACACCTGTGAAAGAAAAATCGACATTCAGTCGAGAACTAGACTGTGGTATGTTCGGCGAATCTTCGTGAACCCGAAGAAGCGAACTTTACGGGCAAAAGTTGGGTGAGAGTTTTGAAAAATCGATATTCAGTCGGGAAGAAGAAGTATCTTCGGTGAATCTTCGTAAAAGCGAAGAAGCATTTAAGGGCAAAAGCTGGTGAAAGTTTTCGTCAAATTTTGTTGACTATCATGTCATCAACGAGAAAAACGAGCTGACAGTTATCATCATCTACCTGTCAAATGTACCAAAACTTTTGTCGGCTGCTGTGAAAATTTGATAAGGACAGAAACTAGAGTGCAAGAAAGTTTCAAGTTAAACGAGAGCAAATGCTTGAAGTTTCGATTATTAGCAAGCATAGGAAGGCTTATGTTTAAGTAAGTACTTTTGAATTATTAATGGGAAATAAAAAGCAGTAAGTTTATGATACAAACCCAACAAAGTGCAATGACACGTCATAAGCCGCACCGTGCAAAACGCTTGCACAGCCAATCAGAGGGCTCGTTATGTGACTAATTTTTCATAACAGGAAACGCTTATGGGAAATGAAAAGCAGCAAGTCTCACCGCTATATCGTGAATGTACTGCTGAAGTCTGTTCGTGTATTCCGCACTAAGCTCCTTAAGACGCAAGTCCAAGTTGTTGTTTTCTTCATACAGACGGTGCTTCTCGCCGTTGGCAGAGATCAATTCCTTTATCAAGAGACAGAAATGTAGGTTAGCTAACATTTTCTGGTTTCTGGAGCCTGGAATTATCTGCTCCCAATCAGGTTGATTCTCCCAAATCTTATTATGGCCCGCACATTTTCGGTAGCGGATTCTGGTCCCAGTTGCCACAGACCGATTCATTATGTCCTTTTTGGTGTTTTTGCTATCTTATGTTTCCTTCATAACGTAGTAGTATCCCTAAACTTTTCAATCCCAGGAGCGGTGTATATGTAAATTCTCCTTACTATACCAATACATTTTCAAGCAGATTGGGGATAAGAATACAGAAAGTCATCAACTTTGAGATGTCGTTAAATTCCCACAACTAATCTTAAATGAAATTTATAGGAGTCAATGAGGAGAATTTGCATTCAGATCTTCGCAGTGAGATGACTAACCGCAGATTGATGAGCAAGCTTCCGTTGAATCTCCCGTAGAGATTCCTTTGATTCCTTCAGTTCTCTTGTCAGTTTGGATCTACAAAGGCAAATGTAATGACACAATGCTTTCTCTTTCTTTCCGAAGAAAATAAAACAAAAAAAACAGCAACGTGGAAATGTTTTGTAATTCTCTTGTCTGTTTATCTGCCTATTTGCTCTTATTCTTTTCAGAGAGAGTAAGAAAGAGAGCACCCCTCTTCAAGTGCCTTAAAATAGAGCAATTGACAACGTAACGTAAACATAAC